CAGAAGCGCTGTTGAAGAAAAACGCAACTAACTCACTCATCAAATATGACAATGCACGGGATATAAATATATGAAAGGTAATCAATAAGTCCATTATTAATTCGCAGCTAACACTATATAATGTCTGATCTCTGGGATTTAAGGATAGATAGATATCAAGAGAATGCGATAGATAGTCAGATAGATATCAAGATAGATTTCAAGAGAATGAGATAGATAGATAGATAGATAGATAGATAGATAGATAGATATCAAGAGACTGAGATAGACAGATATCAAGAGACTGACATAGATAGATAGATAAATAGATATCAAGAGACTGACATAGATAGATATCAAGAGACTGACATAGATAGATAGATAGATAAATAGATATCAAGAGACTGAGATAGATAGATAGATAGATAGATAGATAGATATCAAGAGAGTGACATACATAGATAGATAGATAGATATCAAGAGAGTGACATAGATAGATAGATAGATAGATAGATAGATAGATAGATAGAATAGATAGATAGATAGATAGATAGCCCGCCAACAATGGCAATGCGGTTGCAGCACGAACCACCTTACCTTCAGCTCATGATCGTTCTACAAATGTCTTAATATGTCTAAGCAAAAAAGAACCCGTAAATATCCTGACAAGGTGGTTTAGGGACGATGTGGGAAGTCCGTTGGGCATGGTTTCTGGTGTGATGTTGGGGTTTTGGGTAAGGGAAGGACCATTGCACCTTAGACAGCGTTAGGACACCGCCCCCTGGTGTACATTGTTTATATACATGTTACGTAGTTTTAAGTGGTTTCAAACATAACAGAGTCAACTGCAGTAAAAACAAAACTTCTCAATGTCGGCACAATAAGTTGAAAATCTCTGGAGGGGAACAATTTGGGCGAAGACAGAACTCGTACACAGTTGCCCAGCTCCCTCAGAGAATTAAATTTTTCAATACTTAAATAAATCTCTCTCTCTTGCTCTCTCTCTCTCTTGCTCTCTCTCTCTCTCTCTCTTGCTCTCTCTCTCTCTCTCTTTCGCACACACACACATATCTTTGTAATTAGGAAACTGAAAGCGGACAGACACGTTGACACCAACAAATATTAGACACACAGGTTTTTTAAAGGAACTAATAATTTCTACAGGGTGCGGCAGAAATACCTGCCACATTTTAAACTGTCACTTGTATGGTTCCAGTGAACTTAGGCAAGTGGCAATGGGATCTTCATCTAGCTAATGTCTTACTATTTTTTGTTAGATACCTTCAGTTACCATCATGGCTTGGATCGATGCACAACTGCGTTTGCTGTTGAAACTTTTTTTTTAAAGACGTCTGAATCTGTAATTGCAACAATTGCAAGGCACATTTCCTCCACCGGATATTCGCGAAAGTTGATATCTTCTCGATTTACTATCCGAAACAAAGAAATTTATAAAGACTTAACGGACGTTTTTATTACTTTATACACTCTCTCTCCATATATATATATATATATATATATATATATATATATATATATATATATATGATGAAATATACTCTTAAGATGTGCTATATTTATGGAATAAAGTCTAGTATACACGAGTTTGTCGTTGCTTGGAAATCTTTCTTGCAACAAAATTATTCTTTTGTCCGTGTATTGTTTAATATATTGAAATGTATTTGTCATCTTTGATAAAGGCTTATGTAAGCCGAAAGCTTAGATAGGATTAAAAAACATGTATCAATATGGCGATTTTCTTTCTTCTTTCAATGATAATGTTATTAAGTTTATCAGATAATATGAAAGGAATTTACTTAAAATAAATTTATCTATATTATTTAATAAAGCATGCATTAATGAAAAAATGCTGCCTAAATAACATATATATATATATATATATATATATATATATATATATATATATAGATATAGATGTGTGTGTGTGTGTGTTTGTGTATGCAAAACCGCAACATCTCTCCGTCTTCCTCTTTCTCACATACAACCCCCCATTTCAAATCTTATTACATAGAAATTGCCAAAAATAAACGAAATCTAAAAGAGAATCCACCAAAATGGCGTCGTAACTACTCAGTAAAAAAAATAAAGTCATAAATCTTCATTTCTTTTAAACAAATTGAAACTGAATCCATCCGCCGCTGTCGTCCTGGTTATTGGGCAGTAATTGTATACATTTGGTGACAGAAGACCCACCCGTACTATACTGCAGTTACAAAAAGAAGGTGGTTTAAGTGATAATTACTTTTCACTTTATATTATGTCGGTTTCATGATGTGCCTGTTAAATATGCAATGTCGTTCATATAGCAACACATTCTTCGTTACATATCAGTTTCTTCGTTTTTATTCCTTCTTTTGACGTCAAAATTCTTACCTTGTCTTGTAACATGAAGAAGAATAATAGACCAGACATCAACGATGAAAAGCCTTAAAACCGAAGAATAAACATTGATATACAAACAAAAATAAACCCATATACTAGTCGTAATATTATTTGGATTGTTTAGGTTAAGAATTATCAATGATTAAATTTGGACTAGAATTTCTTTTATCTTATTTCTGTCGCTTTTTATCGCAACGCCCCCATCTTTAGCCTCTGGCCATTTGTAAGCATCACAGAACGAAAAATAAACAATAACCTTAGACCGAGACACAAAGTTGCAATACATTTTCATCGGGATGCTTGTATTAACGCGATAGCTGCCATACTTTACCGATAAACCAGACAGCCGATCATTTGCAACCATTTATATATCTAAACATATAGTTATTCTCCGTCTTCGCCGAGTGCCACATTAGACGCCATCTTTATTTGCTTACACCCGCAGTTTTAATCTTAGTTTTGCGTGTTCTTTCATTTCCGAGAAGAAGCATTGTCAATTCTGATTAATCTTCGACAATTATTTCTGCCATGTTCATTTCAATTGTTTATTATTATTATTATCATAATCATCATTATTATTATCATAATCATCATTATTATTATTATTATCATCATTATCATCATTATTATTATCATCATCATCATTATCATTATTATCATTATCATTATTATCATCAACATCATTTTTATCATTATGATTATTATCATTATCATTATTATTATTATCATCATTATTATTATTTCGTCTGACGCTAAATCTCGAAGAACTTCTTTACCAAATAACAGAAAGTGGATCACTTGAAGAATTCCAAAAGCAGAAACCACTAAAAGGGATAGCACTTGTAACTAGAAGAGTAAATAATGATATAACCAAGACGTTGATTTTCCACACGACCTTAAACAAGAAGTTTGAAAGGAGACTCCCCTCAATACAATTTTTATCGGGATGCTTGTATAGTGGAAAGTTTATCAGAACAGTTGCCATGAAACTATTTGTAGAAAAAGCACAGAGGAGCTGCATAACGGTGGTGGGAAGAAAGACTGGAGATGCCACGTCAGGACTAATGACATTGCAGATTCTTCTTTGGATTTTATCAAGAATCTCTAAATATATAGCAGGAGCACCAGACCAGATGTGGCATCAGTATTCAAAGCAAGGGCGAATGGTAGACTTATAAATATTTAAAACAGATTCTGGCGAGAAAGATTGTCTAGCACAACATTATATATGCACATACATATATACAGACACTTGTAGTGTGTGATGGACAGAGAGCTCTATTAAGGAGCAACAACAATAGAAGAATTATCAGGAAGACAGTAGATAACAACACTGCATTTAAATGTTTAAAGATCAATGTTAGCTGGAAAACATGGAGTCGGAAGAGTGTTTCACAAGCAAGAAGTGCAAGAAACTGTTAGGATAGAACTTAAGGTTAGATTTGAGCATTGCAACTGTAAAACGATGAGGCCTTGAAGCTAATTACTGGGCAAAAATTCAACGGGTGAATAATAATAATAATAATAACAACATTAAAAGATTTAACGCTAAGACCAGAAAAATTCTTCCCTAAATGAGGATGCACCACCAAAATCAGGTGTGGGTATATTGTACCTACCAAGAGCTTTAAGAGGCCAAGGTCTAATCCATCTTGAACTAACTTTAAAAACTACAACAATTGGATTGAAATCATATTTCACAAAACCAATAACCCTCTCCTATAAATAGTAAAACATCAAATCCACTCCATCAACAAAGACACAACACTCTTCAAGAAACAGCTTAATATACCTGAAACCCTACCAAGAAAAAAACGAAGTGAACGCCAAACAAGTAAAAGAGAAAGCAGAACAACTTTGACCAAATTAAATTATAAAAAAAAATAAAATAAAATAAAAATAATGGGCGGACAAGGTGTTACATGGCAACTATCTAAAAATAATGAAAGATATGGATCATCAGAAAACATACGACTATCTGAGGAGCCTCGGGTTGAAAGCTGAGAGAGAAAGCCTAATTATTGCAGCTCAGGACTAAAGCCGCACAACCAGATCCTATCATTGTCTCATAATCAAGGATGGAACTAACCCGAAATACAGGATATGTAGAAAATATTATGATACTCATATTATCTCAGGATGTCCGGAACTAGTAAAAACTGAATATACCCACAGATATAATAAAGTAGCGACATATGTGCATCGGAAAATATGCAAGAAGCACAAAATCGAAACAACTGAGAAATGGGCACCAACTAGACACAGTTACCAAAAATAACGATGTAACTATCCTCTGGGACATGCTAATTAAAACTGGCAGGGAAATAAAAACCAACAGACCTGATATTATCATAAAAGACAAGAAATTCAGAAAGTGTTTGCTTATTGAAATAGAAGTACTATCTGAGAGAAATACCGCCATGAAAGTTATCGAGAAATTGTCCAAATACAAGGATCTGGAGATCGAGATTAACAAGATGTGTGGAATGAAGACTGAGACTGTACCAATGCTAATCGGAGCTCTGGTCCTCATGAGAAAATGAATGAACAATTTTAAGTGTCCCATGTATTATCAACATAAAGGTTGCCCTGAAAATTGCCCTACTAGGAACATCCCA